TGTAGAGGAGGGGGCCAACGCCAGCGGGGGTGCGCAATAGGGTATTTCGCTCAATCGTAAACGTACTGGTACATAGAAGATGCAAAGAAGTTGCAAAACGGAGCCGGAACAAGCTGGCATAACCTGAAATAGCGTTCGCGTTCTTATTATGAATTACAAGCTGGTAAATGGTGTGTTATATCATTAGTTTTCAGTTAGTATTTTACAAATCTATACTTAAGCAAAACATTCTTGCCTTTTTACGGATAAAAAATGCGTAGTAGTAGTATTTCTGAATCCGCTTGTCACTTCCTTTTTATCTTCTCCCTGTCAGTGTTCGATTCAGCGAAATTCTGTATTCTTTCTTGGTATTCTGTCGTGTTTTCTTTCTGTTTGGGAAGAGAAGGGGCAGTTAAATGAATGATGCTTATGCTCGTACTTAAGCGACGTGGCAACATCGCTGCCAACACCTATTTCCGCATGGCGGCCAGTCGTGTTCGTGTGTGTCGTAGTGAGTGTGCGCGCGCGTGTTTTTTTCCTCTTGTGTTTCGAGAGGCGCACCTAAAAGATCGTAAAATGGTGAACATCTGTTCTGCTTTACAGAGAGGCATCACCAGAGGGGCGCTGTGTGTAAAGGGAGGGGGGGAGGGATAAAATATCGCTTGTCCGTCATTGTGACCTGTCAAGAGGATACGAGTGTAAAAAGAAGGGGGGAGGGGTGTGCTCATGACATTGCAGGAATTTTGTTTATCATTCGCAGTGGAAGGGGAGTTATTATCTTTGGACGAGCTTGGCGGCCAACAGCGGTCATTTCTATTTTTTTCCACAGTGGCGAAGAGACCAAAGAGACGGATAAAAATTAGGATGGATATGAATAAGAGAGGAAGACGAGGGCATGTCATCATGGTCCAACCACCTGTCTCACTCACTCTCAAGAGAAATATACCGCCCCTCAAAAATGATTTTGGCACCATTTTCGTACTGCTTTCTTTCTCTGTTTTTATTCTTGGTGTTTGGGGCCTACGTGGGGTATTTTGCCAAACAATACTAAATGTTTCTCATCGGCCGTAATACCGTTTTTCAGTGAATCCCGGGGGGCGGGAAGTAAAAAGAAAAATGGAATTCCCAAAACGGAACCAGCAGTTGAAAGGGAGCCGTCAGGGTATGACAAATACATATGGTTTCACTGAAAATAAACAAATGAACAAAGGACAGAGCAGTGCGTATTTCTCATACTGCGACGGTTCGTATCGTACTGCTAGTTCTGCTCGTTTTTATCCCATTTTTTACTTCTTTCTGCCCCGTGATTCACTGTCGCTGAGAAGAAACCGAATCGCAACCCTAACGACAAATTTCGGAGGCAAGTACATTTTCCAGCCCGCTCAATGGAATACGCTACGAACTCGAGCTTTTCCTGCGAAACAAAATACACACTGAATAGACGGCGCTTTAAATGATTAAAGGTTTTTTCTTCGTCTCCGTTTTTGAACGACAAGGAAGCGTCCCGACGCCGCCGCCGTGCTGCTGTTTGCACACCGTCCCGTCGAAGCGGAGCGGACGACGGGACGGAGACGGAGCCCCCGAGAGCAGCCGAGCTGAGCCGAGTCGAGCCCGGGCGGGCGGTGCCGGGCCGAGCCGGGGCCACGCGGCGTCGGGCCGAGCCGAGCCGGGGCCGGCGGGCTGGGCCGTGCGATGTGGCAACGTCGCGCCTCGTTGGCGTGGGCTGCAGGCGGTGCTCGGGATCCCGTGCCGAGTGGTGCTCGGGAGTTCGGGCCGACGCTGCGGCTCCGCGGCCGACCCGCTTTGCTATGTTTGCTATATGCCCCGTCCGAAACCAGTGGCGTAGAGGCCGGCAAGGGGTGGTTTAGGGGTTGGTTGTGGTGTAGGCGAGCGTAGAGGTCGCGTTGGTGTAGTCTGCGCAGCCTCCACCTCGGACCGCCGACCGCCTCTCACCTACGCCGCCGACGGGCGCCACAACGACAGTAGAGATCACGTCGGTGGCGTTCAGCATATACGCGACGTGCGCACATCACATACTCGGTCTGATTAGCGTCGCCACAGCAGAGCTGAGCTGCCGCTGGCGCCCTCCCGGTCCTTCCCCCTCTTCCCCCCGGAGTAAAAGCCGTCCACTGGCGCTCGTCCGAGTGGGCCGACCCGGGGCTGTGGCTGTGGCTGTGGCTGTGCTGCTGCAGGCCGGAGTCATACCCCGACGTGATTGTGGAGAACTGGGACAGGGCGGAAGCTCGGCTGCTCTGGCCCAATTCATTGACAAATGTATGTAACATGTGAGGGAAGGGGGTGGGTGTGGGGAGAAGTTCCGGCCGACACGAGTGGACCCATACGGTGGGGTTTGTTGAGGGCTATACGGCTGGCTCTCAATGTATCTCACAACTGAACTGAACACAATATGGAGAGGGTGGTGTTGTTTTGAGCCGGGCGGTGTGAGGTGGTGGTTTACTGACGCCCCCCTCCTCCCCCTTCACACAATGAGCCCGGTCAGGTGATGGCCGTTGTCGCTCGCAGGAGTGTATTCTTGCTGCTGTTGTTGTTGTTGTTTGTGGTGTTGTATGCCGTGCTTATCAATGTGTCCCATCGTTATTCCTGTGGCGAGCCGCTCCTCATTGTCATTTGAAGTGCACTGGTTTAAAGGTCAGCCAAAAACTACGTATGTGATGTGCATTCATGCATTCGTGCATTTTTCATTCATTTCCGAACCGCGTACATTCGCTACGAACAAGCGGTCGTGCTTTTGAAGTTGAAGTTACACACACGCGTTTATGGCGCTTTTTGGGTGGGCACGGTCTAACCTTTTTCGGACACCCCTTTCTGTCTCTGTTCCGGAACGTAAGTCGGTCCACGCCTCCCGTCCACGCCGCCGCCGACCGAAATTGGAACAAATGGACTTGTTGTTGCACCGCCCGCCCCCTGTCCTGTCCGCAATTGAAATAGGGGCGGTGTTTGAATACCGAGCAGGGCGGCCCGGGCCGGCCATTGGTCCGCTTCGGCTCGGGAACCAATATTGGAGAAAGGGAACGAGAGGGGACAGGGGGGGTAGTGAAAAGGGGCTCCGGCTGACGTCACCGCGCCGGGACTCGGCTCGGCGGGGTGCGAAGCCAGCGGCCTGGAGGCCCCCCCAATCGGGTTTTGTGTGTAGGGGGTGGGGGAGATTGCTGCAGAGGGTGAAAAAGTGAGGGCGGTCGCGCCACCTCGCACCCCTCGGTGGCCTCGGGTAGGGGCTCGGATGGTTTGGATTCCTCGGTGGAAGTACACTGCGTGGCGTTGGACGTTTTGCTCACCTGCAGCTGAGAAAAACACAAACCGGAAGCCCGGCTGTCCCAAAATATTCTGCTCAGCAAAACGTGCAAGTAACCCTTTTAAATAGTGAAATTTGCATCACTAGCTGGAAGGTAAATCGTGCCCATAACATACACGTTATAACCTGTGTGACGACTTGTATCTGAGTCGGTACCGTAATCGTCCCCAAAACGGGGTTAATCTCCCAAATCTCCCCCAAGCAGATAGTGCGCTGTGTGCTCAAGCTTTTAAAAATGTAGATGATTTTCTGGGACAAAATAGTTCTAGCAGTCCGTTTAGTGTGCAGCTTAGTGCATTGTGCTTTGGCTAGGCTAGGAAGACACACACGTGTGCTCCGTATGTCAGACAAAGGGAAGACCGTCTCTCCTCGCCTCGCCTCGCTCCGCGAGTCTGCGCCGCCTCTCTATCTCGACTGCAACCCCCCCATTGTGCTCTAGAGAGCGAAGAGAGCGGCGGTGGCGCCTGCCGGGCCGGGAGGGGAAAGGGGGGGGGGCGTATTGAAGTGCATCACTCTAAATGCTAATAGCGGTCTATTTCTACGCCGCGTGTCGCACGGTCGTGTAGTCTGCTGCCGCGGGGTCTACGACGACGGCAAGGGGTGTACGGGGAAGGGGGTGGTGGTGTCAGCGGCAGGACCACGATCAGGAGCAGCATCAGCACCAGGGGCAGGTGACCAGGTGGGGGCGTGCAGAGGCGCCCACCAACCACGGCCAGGGCGGGGAGACCTTGCGCGAGGAGCTCAGGTTTGGCGGACGCGCTTATAGCTTTGCTCGCCGGGCTCGGCTGTGCGGCACCGATACTGCTACACACGGTGTGTGCAGACACGTGCGTCCTTCGTGTCGCGTCAGAGAGAAAGATAGACGGCCAGGGGCAAAGCAAGACGGGGAGATTACGAACCAACAAGCCCCTCGAGGTTGGCTGGCGGGGCTGGGCCCCCTCGTGGGTCATGGGTCTCATCCTCCTCCTCCCACGAGTCGGTGCGAGTCGCGACGAGCTCGTGTTAATGTTATCTCAAGGACACCCTGCAGCAGCGCCCTGTGCTATATGCCGGGCCGCCGTGTCCTGCAGCAGAAAGCGTGTCAGCGTGCGCGCCGCCCTGTCCTCTCTATGGTCCTCCCCCGGGAGCGGTGCTGCCACGCCCTCTGTGGCTGTCCTCTCCTCTGGTCCTTCCCCCTGTTCTTCGCTGTCCTATCTGCGTCTAATTCATTAGTCACTGCCGCAAGTCATCCAGTATCGAGTCGGGGGGAGCGGTTGAAAGCTGCGTGGTTGATGCAGGTGGACGGATGATGGATGTCGCCTCGAGTGTGATGCAGGAGGATGTGTATAGGTGGCAGCCGCGTGGGTGATGCAGGTGGATGATGCGGGGCGCGTGCCATATGCCGGTTGAGGCCGTGGCTGGTTGATTGCTCTGCCGCCGCCGGGGAGCCTGTTGCCACGTATTCTTCTATTTCTCCTTTTTGACCGTGAACCTTACTGGATGGTGTAGTGACCTTTGTCGCCGCCACATCCAGGCCGCCTTTGCTGACGATGCTGTCGCCTGGAGTGTGTTTTTGACCTTTTGTGGCTGGAGCGGTGAGGCACCCGCGGGGCTCCCGACGCTGCCGCCTCGTCTCCCCAGTTTGTGTCCGTGCTCTTGTCTCTCTTTGCGCGCCCCTCTTTGACGTCCCCGACGCTAACGTGTGCTCCTTTGCCTTCTTCTGCTGCAGCTATGGCCGTGTTCAGAGCGTCAAGCTGCTGCCCCGGCTCAAGGACGACCCGCTTGACGGGGCCAGCGGGCTGTGCGCTACCGTGGCCTTCATGGACATCAAGTCGGCGTCCAAGGCGCACCTAAACGAGCACAAGCTGGACGAGCGGTGCTTGTCCACGGAGTACTACGAGCCGCCCGCGCCCACCTCGCTGTCGGCCTACGCTTCGCCCAGGTTCTCTCACGGGTAAGTCTCGCGCCCTCTGTGGACGATCGCCCTCCCCGCCTCCCCCACTTACCTTCTCCGAGCCTCTTGTCAGTCATGCCAACCACCCAAAGTCCGCACGGACACGAGGAGCTGCCAGCTTGTCCGTCGGTGGCGTGCACCTCACTGGCGGACTCCGCCCTCCCCACCCTGGGGCGCCCTGGGGTGTGGACCCGTCCCGGGACCCCGGATGACTCTGGCGACCCTGCCAAGGCTCTGGTCTGTAGCACTGAGCTGGGACCCGTGGCTGATTTTTGAGTTGGCAGTTGGCACGCTCCTGTCTGCGCGTTTGACTGGTTGGCCTTGATTGTCACCCTGTTCCTTACCTTCCCCTTCCTCTCTTCCTCTTCCTCGCTTCATGTCGCCACCTCACGAAGAAAGACACGAAGACTCACCTCACCGTCCAGACACTTACCCATTGGCAAGCACGACTCTGAACACATTCCTCTAGCAATTACACAGTATGAAAGTGTTAATTTTCACTAGGGTTGGGGGAAAATTTAATTCATCGTGTGGTGTGTGAAAAAAAAAAAAAGAAAGTTTCAATTTTCTATCAAAAGTTTGTGAAAAGTAAAAAGTGTGTTGTGTGTTTGAAGTGATGTGTGTGCGAGTGAGTGCGACGACGTAGTGCTTCAAGGAATCAAGATTCTGCTGTGCAAAGTGTGCAGCAAGAAAGTGTCTCCGCGGCTCGTCTTTGGATTTACTACTACCTCGGCGCCCTCCCCAGAAGACGGAATAAAAGTGGAATACGCTCTCCAATGTGGATTTCAGTGATTGTGGATTACGCTTCGCCCGACGCCTCTGGATTACATTGTGTGGATTACGTTTTGTGAAGTGATGTTGACAAAACAAAAAGTGAACGGAAGTGACGAGTGAGCTCGCCCGGAGGGGCCCTGGCGGCGGTGGGGGCCCAGTGACGCCCCCCCCCCTACCGCCCCTCTTCGCCCCCTCCGGCGCCAACGTCATCAGCCCCTTCCACACGAAAGCACTCTGACCCGCAGTACTCCACACGACACGAAATACACAATACAAAAACTCATTTGCGAACGGTAAGTACGGCCCGGCCGCCCTCCGGCCCCGCCACCCCGCGGGGCGCCTCCAGCTGCCACGCCCCCGCCGGCCCCGGCCACGGCCCCGGCCCCGGCCCCGGCCACGGCCCCGGCCACGGCCTCGGCCGGCGAGGCGAGGCAGGCGGATGGAAATGGGATCTCGCTAATGGAGAGCAGAGAGAGAGATTGGCGCAGCGAGGGCGGCAGTGGCTGGCTTTTCTTTTATGTGTGTCAGTATTGTTGTTGTTGTTGCTGTTGGTGGTGGTGTAGTGGTAGTAGTAGACGTAGAAGTTGTGTTTTTGTTTGAACTGAGAGGCATGTTGAAGGAAAGGATTGTTATACACCCCCGTATGCCGCCGACGTCAGGGGATTTGAAGGGAGGCTACCACAGGCAACCTGGGGGTGCACGTCGGGTTGCCTGTCGCCCCAGTTCACCCCAGCGCGCTCCTCCCCCCTTATGTTAGTTAGGGTGTGTGTATGGCGCTCAGCGCGCCGTCAGCTTCGTTTTGCTCTCGAAGCGCCATATGTAAGGAAACGGTTGTCGCGACCAACCCGACTGCCTGCCCGTTCTCCGCGCCCCTCACAGTTCACTCCCCGTCCACCCCGCCGACGGGCGGTTCGGCGGAACGAAACGAATGCTCGTAGATTTCCTCTAGATTTTTCTCTGCTGGAATAACGCGGTCAGCTCCGCCGCGCCCCGCCACGCCCCGCCACG